AGCGTCCGACTTTCGCTTAGGTCATGATCTCGCGGTTCGTGGGTTCGAGCCCCGCGTCGGGCTCTGTGCTGACTGCCAGCTCAGAGCCTGGAGCCTGTTTCAGAGTCTGTGACTCCCTCTCTCTCTGACCCTCCCCTACTCATGCTGTCTCTCTCCTAGAAATAAATAAAACATTAAAAAAAAAAAATTTTAAACTGTATAATTTGGTGGTATTTAGTGTATTCACAATGATGTATAACCACCAGTTCTAATTTCAAAATTTTTATCACCCCATAAAAACACTCATAAGTAATCAATCACTTCCAGTTTCTCCTTATCTCCCTCCTCTGCCAACCTCTAATCTGCTTTCTGGCTCTATGAATTTACCTATTTTGAATATATTTATAAAAGGATTCATATATGTCCTTTTGTGTCTGGGTTTTTTCACGTTGCATATGTGTTCAAGGTTCATCCAAGTTGCAGCATATTTATCAGTACTTTGTTTCTTTTAATAGCTGAATAATATTCCATTGTGTGGTATGTGATGTGTTTGTCTGTATGTGTATCACAATGTATGCATCCATAGATGTACATTTGGGTTTCTACCTTTGGCTAGTAATAATGCTGCTATGAACATTTCTGTGCACATTTCTATTTGAACGTGTTTTCATTTCTCTTAGGTAAATACCTAGTAGTAGAATTGCTGAATCACATGGTAATTCTATACTTGACTTTTTGAGGAACCTCCAGATATCCATAGTAGCTGTACCATTTTACGTTTTGACCAGGAATATACAAGAGTTTCTATTTCTCCAAATTGCCAGTACTTGTATTTCCTTTTTTTTTTTTTTTAAATTAAAGTCATCCTACTGGGTGTCAAGTGGTATCTCATTGCAGTTTTGATTTGCATTTCCTTAATGGCCAATGATACTGAATACCTTTTCACATGCGTGTTGCCCACTTGTATTATCTTCTTTAGAGAATATCTATTTAAATCCTTTGTTTATTTTTTAATTGGATTGATTGTCTTCTTGTTGCAGTTTTTTTTATAGTAAATCCATATTTGATCCACAATTTGCAAATATTTTCTCCCAATCTGTGGACTGCCTTTTCATATTGATAACGTTCTTTAATGCACAAAAGTTTTTAGTTTTTATGCAGTCTAATTTATTTTCTCTATTCTTACTCTTACTTTTGGTATTGTTTAAGAATTCATTGCCAAATCTGAGGTTACGAAGACCAACCCCTATGTTTCTAGTTGTTTTTTAAAATATATATATATATTAAAATGTAAAGCTATATATATTTATAAATATATATATATACATAATATATTGAGGTAGAGGCTCAACTTCATTGTTTTGAATGTGGTTATCCATTTGTCTCAGCACCATTTATTGAAGACTATTCTTTTTTCACTGAGTGGTTTTGGCACCCTTGTCAAAAATTAATTTTCCATAGATATTTGGGTTTATTTCTGTATTCTCAATTCTGTTTCATTGGTTCATGTATCTATTCTTATGCCAGTACTAGACTCTTGACTGCTGTAGCCTTGCAGTACGTTTTGAAGTCAGGAAATGTGAGTCCTCCTACCCTCCTCCTCCTTTTTCAATATCATTTAGGCTATCTGAGGTCCTTTGTAGTTTCATATTGGTTTTTTCATTTCTTGCCAAAAAGGCCTTTAGAATTTTGATGAAGGCTGTATTAAATCTGTAGATCACTCTAAGATTGCTATATTAACAATGTTAAGTATATCCATCCATGAACATGGGATATCTTTCCATTTATTTTGGTTTTTAAAAAGTTCTTTCAGCAATGTTTATAGTTTCCAGTTTCCAAGCCTCTCACCATCTTGATTAAATTTATGTCTGATATTTTATTCTTTTTGATGCTACTGTAAATATAATTGTTTTCTTGATTTCTTTTGTGGATTGTTCATTACTGGTGTACAGAAACACAACTGATTTTCGCATGCTGACCCCTGCAACTGTGCTAAATTTTATTACCTCTAATAGTATTTGTATATATTCTATGAGGTTTTCTATAT